AGATGGGGACATCTGTCCCACCTCTATCTTGAAGTGGTCCAAACACAAGAAATACGATCTCCAAGGACACCTGCAGAAAAGAGGAACACGGCGGGCCTGAGACTGCCATCCTTAGAATAGTCTGCTGGCGAAGCTGGCACTTGGGCCAGTGTCTGAGAACTTGGATTTGGAGAGTGTTCCCACCGCTCCTTAACTGATTAATGCGGCTCACTGTGCCATAGACTGTTTGTGAAAATAGTGTGGTCTATGCGGAACACCTATTTTCCTTCTGGGAGTTGTGGGTACTGGAAGAGGGTACCCATGTGAACAGCTCCCAGTGCAAACCTTCAGTGTTGACTCTCTACTGAGTTTCCCTGATAGACACTATTTCACACATATTGTCACAGTTTGATGCTGGGGGAATTAAGCATGTCCTGTGTGACTCACAGAGAGAGGACCCTTGGAAGCTTATGTCTGGCTCCTCTGAACTTTGCCCAGTGCACCTTTTTCCTGTGCTCATTTTGGTTTGTGTCCTCTCAACGTAATATCGGCCACAAGTACAACTACATGCTAAGTCCTGCGAGCCTTTCTAGTGAATCACCAAGCCCAGGGGTGGTCTTGGCAACCCTGAAAAAATACCAAACAAGAGAGTCTAGATATAAAAACATTGATAATAACAACAGCTTCATGTTTAGAAAGGGCCTGTGTAGGTCAGGTCCTCTGCTCTGCACCTGACATGCATTATTTCATGAAATCCAATCCTGGAGCAGGGAGGGAGCCCATTACTCAGATGAAGAAATGGAGGGAAATTGCCTGCCCACACAACTAGTAAAGAGTTCTTTTCCCATAGCAACTAATTTTGAGTGTAGACACCACCACGGTACATTTTTCAGTCTGAGGATGCAACCACCTGGAGAGAGGTAAGTCCAAACTCTATGCTCTGGGCTTGAAGCTGAGATCTGTCATATTGCTTCCCCACAATGCGCCTGTCTTTCCCATAGCAACTAATTTTGAGTGTAGACACCACCACGGTACATTTTTCAGTCTGAGGATGCAACCACCTGGAGAGAGGTAAGTCTAAACTCTATGCTCTGGGCTTGAAGCTGAGATCTGTCATATTGCTTCCCCACAATGCGCCTGTAGCTGAAATGAAGATGTTCATTCAGGGAGACAGTCACTTAGCACTAGGATTAACAGCAATCACACCACATGCTAGGGACTGACTGTGTCTCCCCCCAAATTCACACATTGAAGGCCTGCCCCCAATGTGCTGATAATATGGAGATGGAGCCTTTGGGAGGCAGAGTTAGATGAGATCATGAGGGTGGGACTCTCATGACGGGATTAGTGTTTTGTAAGAAGAGAGGGAGATTGCTCTGTCCTTCACGTGTGGACGCAGTGAGAAGGTGGTCTCTGCAAGCCTAGAAGCGGCCCTCACCAGGACTCGACCACACTGACATCTTGATCTCAGACACCCAGCCTCCAGAACTGTGACAAAATAAATCTGGATTGTTTAAGCCACCCAGTCTATGGTATTCTGTTATGGCAGCCCCAGCTGACTAATACACCTCGCAAGTGGCTGTTTGAATAAATGATGAAATTTATTCACACACTGAAACTTTATGCTGCTGTTAAAATTATATTTACAAAGAGTTTGTAATGTCATGGAAACGTGACATATTTTAATGTTAAGTGGGGTCAGAAGGCTACGAATTATTTCTTACAGTATGATCTCAGCTATGGTAACAGAAAAATCATAAAGGAAAAACCAGACTGAACCAAACCAAGAAGGAAAGTGCACAGACGCTAGAGTGTTTCTCTCTGGGTGGTAGGATTGTGGGTGATTATTATTTTGCTCTTCCTGTTTCTCAATATTTTCTAAATGTTCCACAATGGGGGTGCATTGCTTTCAATATCAGAGATAAAGAATATGCTTAAAAAGGGGGAGGAAGACACTGAGCCCTCTGCCTCCCCCAGCTTGCCCCAACCTTCTGCACGACACTCTCAACGGGCCAGGCAGACCGAGGGCTGAGCTTTCAAAGACATAAGGACCCAAGAGGGACTTTGACATTTGAACCTCTCCCAGAGGAGGAAGAGCCCATGACTCTCAATTCCATAGCCAAATGCCAGTCCCCAGCAGAGGGATAGTGAAATGATGGCAACACTCCCAAATTCTGCTTTTAAAAAAGATTTTTGAGAAGAAACGTAGGGAAAAATTTATGGTGCTCTTTCAGCATTCCTAAGGGCTCCCCTGATGGAATAGTCAGGAAAATCAAATCTCTGTTAAGTAGAGATGCAGGATGGAGAAGCCTGAGACCAAGCAGGCTTCTGTCAAAGTGAAGTGGAAAGTGGGTTCCCAGGCACAGGTGGCATCAGCAGGAGCTCTGAGGCCACTGTGTTCTCCACGCCCCCTGATATCTTCCTGACCCTTCCTGCTCGATGCTCCGAGGCTGCTCCAACTGGCCTGCCTGCGTCTCTGCTCCCTCTTAGACACACCGTGAGACTAAGCTCTGCCATTCATTCAAGTGCTGACCAAGGGCCTACTGTGCCAAGCCTGCAGGGAACAATGTGACATGTACTCATGACACTTGTGCCTGGTGAGAGACAAGATACTGCCTGGAGTACAGTTGGTCCTCATCATGCTTGCAACCCGGTGACACACAAGGCTTTGCCTGTCGCACAGTAGATCCTCGTCATGCTTGCAACCCGGTGACACATAAGGCTTTGCCTGTCGCACAGTAGATCCTCATCATGCTTGCAACCCGGTGACAGACAAGGCTTTGCCTGTCGCACAGTAGGTCCTGAGAAAAGACTGACTGGCCTGATTGGGTGAGAAAGTAAGTACTGCCCGCCAAAGAAACCATAACCTCCACAGGCATCATCGTACAGACACTTCTAGTCCTGGAGGTTGTGCCTGAGTTAGGAGCAAAGGAACATAAGAGGAGAGGACATACACGGATCACGGAGTTGGGAGAATGGGATTGAAGCCACACTCCCAGCACACGTTAGCTGAGAGCCCTTGGCCAGCTGCTTCCCCTCTCACGGCAGCACATGTGAAATGGGGAGAAGGACGATACCCACCTCTCAGGGTAGCGTGCATTAAATGAGACGATGCACATGAGGTCCAGAGCCTTTGCGCACAGTAGGAGCTCTGCAAGTGGCAGAGCCCCCTCCCCTTTCTCCCCCAGAGGGTCTGCATGGGGACGGGAAACCATGCCGTAGAAAAGCATTGTCCAACGAGTTAAAAAAGAAAGTGGGAGAAGAATAAAAAACAATGCATAGAGCATCATTTGTATTCTTTATCGCTGGCGATAGTAGAGTCCTCTTGGTCAGTTCTATAAATAGGCAAGCAGAGACCTTGAGAACAGAGAGGAGGTTAATGCCTTTGATGAGAATGCCGCAGAAAGCTGGCACGGGAGAGGGCCCGGGAGGTCACTGAGTCTCCCACGTGCTTCCCGCCCCCAATATTTACAGAAGGGGACCCTGAAAACCTGAGATGGGAAAGGACAGATGGAGTACAGGTATATACGATAGGCACAGACCAGGACACAGAAGGCCAGCCCCGGGCAAGCCCTTTCCCCTCCATGCCTCAGTTTCCCCATCACGAGACCGTGGGACCAGAAAATGTGGCAGCCAGTCAAGCTGACACCATTCTACCACCTCTGATATTAACTCTTCTTTAGGGATAAATGTGGGCTTTCAGTGGGTCTTGGAGAGCAACAATATCTTCATCCTCTGCTGCCACCTTTATTTTTCTGGCAAAATTGAAGAAAAACAAGATTCCTGAGACAGCACTTCCAATGTCTAAGCAGGCTCTTGGAATGTGGTCTTGGTGCAGTGGCCATTAGAATCCTGCAGGAATGGCTCCACCCGCTGCCCTTTAAGGCAACTAAAATGTGTGCATCATGCAGCGAAGGAGAAGTCGATGGCCTGAGACATCGGCTTCCTACCTTCTTATTGCCTTTTTGTCTCTGGTTTTACAACTGAACCCTTGCTGATTTTAAAGGGAACCATTAAACGGAGGAGTTAATTCCTAAGGAAAGCTGACCCACGCCTTCTCCTCAGAATGCTATTCTACTAGCATTCCACATTCACTCCCACTGCTACCTTGATTCCCAAGGCTCAGGCCACCTGAGCGATCGTGAGGTGCTTGCTCATGGTCAGGTGCACCAGGCCATCCATTTCACTTCCCTTGCCAGAGTGAGCTTACAAGATAGCAAGCAGTTTTAGGCAGCAGGGCAAACTAGGAAGAGCCCTGGCTGGTGAGACAGACCCCAGGCATGACCCCGTTGTGCCACTCGCTTGCTGGGTCATCTGGGCTACTTCCTCCCTTGCTGGGCCTCGGTTTTGCCATCTGGCAATGAGCAAGTTGGACTTAGTGTTTCCTAAGGTCCTGCCCCACGTTAAAATTCTATGTCTCTCTGGGTCACA